AAAGGCGCAAAGCTACACAGAGAAACCCTGTCTCGAAAAACCAAAAAAAAAAAAAAAAAAGCAATACTGAACTTCGGGGGCACTGGACCTACTGTCCAGACAGCTGCTGTGCAGTGTACTCAATACATGATGCTTCCTTTAAAAATTATTAATAAAAATAAATGCCAAAAATGTAAAACTTTTAGATTTCCAAACACACTGATGTCTAAATGGAGACAGACTTGTAATCTTTTCTGCTAATTTGGTCACAATTGTGGGCCACGGTCTGCTGTTTTGATTACAATAGATGTTTGAGATTTTCGTTTGTTTGTTCTTTTGACAGAATCTCTAGCCCAGACTGGCCTCAAACTTGCTATGGAGGTGTTGTTAGAGCTCTCTGAAGGAACTGAACTGATACAATGAATATACATACACACACACACACACACACACACACACTGCAGTAGCTGTTCAGTCACAAAGGCTAGATGTCTCAGCAGTCCCAATCTGGTGCTACAATTCCAGAGGATTCCTGGAAAGCAGCTGTCTCTAGCCTGTGCTGGAATCCTGAAGAAGTTGGTTCTATACAGGCAAAAGATGCCTGAACAACAGGATAGATGAATTTGCCAGCAAGAGTGAGGGCAAGCAGGCAAAAATCAAAAGCTTCCTTCTTGTCCTTTTATGTGGGCCATACCTTCTGGGAGTGGCCAATATTTAGGGTGGGTCTCCCCACCTCTAAAAATCCAGTTGAGAAAACCCCTTCACACAAGTGCTCAGCAGCTTGAGTTTAAGTTGATTCCAGCTGCAGTCAAGTTGAAAGCCAAGATTAGCCACCACAGTAGCCAAGGATTGTAAACAGACGTTTCTAGTCCCAACTGCCAGGTCCCAAATAACCGACTCCGAGGCTGAATATGAATTATAAATGCTTAGCCGATAGCTCAGACTTGTTACTGGCTAGCTCTTACACTTAACCCATATCTCTATGCTTTGCCATGTGGCTTATGGCTTATTACCTCATTTTTTATACGTCCTGCTTGTTTGGTGGCTGGCTGGCAGCTTCTCTGACTCTACCCTCCTTCCTCCCAGAGTCCTCTGTGTCTGGCTGTCCCGCCTGTACTTCCTGCCCAGCTACTGGCCTGTCAGCTTTTTATTAACCAATGAGAGTAATACATATTTATAGTGTAGAAAAGAGTTGTTCCACAACATTTCCCCCTTTTTGTCTAATTAAAAAGGAAGATTTTTAGCCTTAATATGGTAAAACTATACACAACAAAAACAGTTATTAAGTAAGAATTATAGTAACACTATCTAATTCATTTACATTTGGCAAAATTAGAGAAAATAATTATCTTAGTGAATCTAAAGTTTTCTATCTAATTTACTTTCTATTATAATGAAGGAAAACTATAATTATAACTATTTAGTCTTCAACTCTGTTAAAGACACCAGAAGGGTGAAATGTTACCTAATGACAAGGGACATCAGGCTGTCTGGACAGTCACCCAGAGTTCCTCTGTAATGTTGGTGCATCCAACTCTGGCCTCCAGGCCTAGCATATCTGATAGACTTTCCTATGAAGCAGGGAATTTTGAAGGACTGTCCTACTTTGTCTTGGCACAGTTTAGCAGTTGCCTTTCTTGCATCCTGCTGGTCCAGTTTGGACAGTAACTGTTAGCAATTGAAGCCAAGGGCAGTTTCTTTGCCCACACGACTAGCTTTTGCCATAAAGAAAACAAACTCCATATGGAATTTTTTTTTTTTTTGATTTTTTAAGACAGGGTTTCTCTGTGTAGATTTGCGCCTTTCCTAGAACTCACTTGGTAGCCCAGGCTGGCCTTGAACTCACAGAGATCCGCCTGGCTCTGCCTCCCGAGTGCTGGGATTAAAGGCGTGCGCCAGCACCGACCGGCTTCATATGGAATTTTTTGATGCCCAACATCTCTGAAGTAAATTGGTGCTGCCAGGAGCAGACATGTCTCACTGTCATTTAAAAAAAAAAAGCCTTATGTTGTTAAAACATCTTAAATGCCATATTCTGTAGATCTTTGAAGTGTTTGAAGACCATCTATTTGAATATATCTGTTTATGACCTTGAAAACATACCTAACATGACTATAAATTTGACTATATAGATGACTATTAATCTGTTTTTTAATTATACATTACATTTTTAAATGAGCTGTATAAGCACAATACTCCAAATAAGAGTAGAAACATACATACAGCATAACAGAAATAACTTTAAATTTGCATCAATAAATTAAAATCCATACCAATGTAAAATATTTTGAGATTAACAATTGTTTTTTGGATTAAAGTATATTCAACAATCTACTCTTTATCCTATCATTTCTATAACCCCCCTTTTCTTTTTAGAACAAGATCCCTGGATCTAATCTCCTCTGTTCAGCTTTTTTCTTGACCATTATCAATAACAATTTGTAACCAACCCCCCCTAAATGATGGCAAATATCCATAACTCACTGAACGACCAAAAACCACACACCCCACCTCTTGGGAATGTGAGCATCCTGTTCTTAAAATTATTTCCTGTATTTTCTATAAATTTGTCAAATGCAAATGGACCAGATATTATTAATGTAATTCTTGCTTGTATATATTTGTATACTTGTGATACTTCTTGTGTATAGTTTTACTATGTCAATTAACCTTTGCTTTTTATTTAGACAAAAAAAAAAAGGGGAAATGTGTGAAATTTTGATTGTGTTCTGACAAATAAAGCATGCTTGAAGTCAGAGGGTGGAGCTAGCCACTAGCTAACCATAGAGGTTTGGAGGACTGAGGACAGATAGTACAAGAAGTGGTAAGGCGGGGCTGAGAGAGGATCTCAACCCTTTTGGACTGAGGAACAGAAGAGGTAGGAAGCGACTGTGGCTGCTCCCAGTTCTCTGCTCTTTCAGGTTCTTACCCCAATATTGACTCCTGATTTTTTATTGATAAAGATTAATTAGATTAATGCTTCAAAGGATAACAATGAACTTCTCATCCTCATGTATCTATCTCCCAAGTGCTGAGCTCAGAGGCATGCACCACCACATCTGGCCCTGAATACAATAGTTTTTAGCTTAGATTAATAAACCTATTGATATGATCCATTCTAAATGTTTACATAAGCCAGGCATGGTGGCACATGTCTGTCATCCCAGCATTTGGGAAGCTGAGTCAGGAGGATTGCTGTGAGTCTGAGGCCAGCCTGCTACACAAAATAAGACCCGGTTTTAACCAGAAAGTAAGAAGGAAAGAGAGGAGAGGGTGGAGCCAGGCTTCCTCTTGGGTCTGTACTTCCTTGAGGGCTTGTGAGATTTCAGCCATTGTTAATCTCTACCTGCCAATCACCCCGGCCCACCCTCTCCTTTACCTCCCTCAATGGACTGAGCACAGTAACAGGGTAAAGTTCCTCCCTCATCTTGTCTCAGCTGGAGCCATCTTTGATTTAACCTGGAACTGCCCCTGCTGTGCACAGTCCTGTGGGAAAACACCCAAGACTGTTCTAGAAAATCAAGGACAAAATACCTAGCTAATGGCATGGTGTTTGATTTATGTTAAACTGCTTGCTTGCTTAACTTCCCGCTGCAGCTGCCACCAGGATGTAGTTTTTCTGTGTTCTTTACCTTTAAAAGCTCACTATAAAATGCACTGGAGGCTGCTCTGTAAGAAGTGTTGCTCTCCAGGCAGTCCCCAGCCTGCTTAATACAGACAGCCTCTCAATTAGGACTTGGGTTGCACTGAGTGGTCTTGGGGTCTCTGCCCTGCAACAGTAATAACAGGAGATACGTAATAGGACATATCTGCCGTGAAGTCCAGAACGGAGCTGCTGGCATCTCCAGGTGAATCACCGTACTTGGCACCATCTGGAAGGCACCGTGAGGTTTGTGCTTTGCCTGGCATACTCGACCCCACCTAGTATCAGGTGCAGTCTGTCACCCACCATTTTCTAGCCTAACTCTGGTGTCCGTGACATCTTTTCTCCGTCGGTGAAACACATCAGTTTCATCTCAACCATTTTTAGCCATCAAATGCTGCATGGGTTTGCTTTAAAAGAGCAGCCCTGGGGTGTTAGTCAGCTTTGCGTCAGTGTGACAAAGGCCTGAGGTAACCAACCCTGTTAGTCAGCCTTCCGTCACAGCCCTGACAAAATACCCGAGGAATCGGCTGTAATTAGGAATAATTTATTCTTGGTTCACAGTTGGCTTCCTTGTTTCTGGTCCTGTGGCGAGACAGTCTTGAGAGCAGGGAGAGTGAGGTGGAAGGAAGGTGCTTTGCCCACGGTGGACAGGAAGCAGGAAGAGAGAAAGAAGGGGCCAGGCAGAAAACATACCCTTCAAGGGCATGTTCCCCATCACTGAATTGCTCCAACTGCATCCCACCTTCTGAATCCCCACCATCTCCCAGGAGCCCACAGAGCTAGGAATGCACGCGCGCGCGGGTCAGTCCAGTCTGAAGTCAGAGGCCCCAGGATCCCATCATCCTACCCTGGAGCCTCATCTCTGGACACAGCTGCTTCAGCGGGTAAGCCTTCATTTAATGTCCAAGCCGTAAGAACCACTGCAAGGACGGAAGGCCGTTTAGGTCACATTTTATGAGGTTTCAGTCTATAGCCCCTTGGCCCTGCTGCTTCAGGCCTAGGATGGCTCCCGTGCTCCAGCGGAGGGGTGGTGGGCCTCTTCACCTCACTGTGCCCTGGAGACAAGAAACACAGTGAGGCGCCAGGTTCCAGTATTCCCTTAAAGAGCACACTCTCAATGACGTAACTTTTTTTTAGATTTTTTTTATTATTTTAATGATTTATTCTTATGTCTATAAAAGGGTGTCAGATTCCCTGGAATTGCAGATGGTTGTGAGCTGCCATGTGTGTGCTGGGAATTGAACCCAGGTCCTCTGAAAGCGCAGCCAGTGCTCCTAATCACTAGGTCATCTCTCCAGCCCCCTGGTTTAACTACTTTTTGCTAGACCCATGTCCTAAAGGTTGTCACCTCCCAACAAGGTGACCTAGGCTGGTGACCACACCTTTAGCACCTGGGCTTTGAAGGACTCCTATCCAACCATAGTAACTGGCACTTAAACTCTAACTTTATTTTTTAAATTATTTTTATTTTTGATTTTTTTTAAAAGATTTATTTATTTATTATGTATACAGCATGTATGACTGCAGGCCAGAAGAGAGCATCAGATCTTGTTACAGATGGTTGTGAGTCACCATGTGGTTGCTGGGAATTGAACTCAGGACCTCTGGAAGAGCAGTCAGTGCTCTTAACCTCTGAGCCATCTCTCCAGCCCTGATTTTTTTTTTTTATATGTGAGTGTTTGCCTGTGTGTGTTCATATGTGCACCATGTGTGTGCCTGGTGCCCAAGGAAGACAAAAGCGTGTTGGATCTCCTGGAGTTGGTTGTGAGCTGCCATGTGAATGCTGAGAACTGAACTCTGGTCCTCTGTGGGAGCAGAAACTGCTCTAAAGCATTGCACGGTCTCTCCAGGCCCTGGAACTGTAACTTTAAGGGGAGGTGTGGTAACATATACCTGTAACTCCAACACTTGGAAGGTAGAGGCAGGAAAATCAGGAGTTCAAGGTCATCTTTGGCTACGTAGAGAGTTCAGGCTAGCCTGGACTGCAAAATGACATCCCATTTTGGGTAAAAAAAGAAAAAGGAAAACACACACAAAAAAATTTCTCCATCTTCCCCCTTTGGCGTCAGGTTGTAACGCTTGCCTTTCTCCTTTGATTAGAAAAAGTGGTCACTAAGCCCAGGAATGGGGACTCATCCCTGTAATCCTAGCACTTGGGAGCTGAAATTACAGGATCTTCATGAGCTGGAAGCCAGCCTGAGGCTACAGAGTAAATTCGGGGTCAGCCTTGCCTAGGGAGAGACGCTGCCTCAATAAATGATAGACAATTAAAAGCTGCTGAAAATTCTGTCCCTGTCTTAACCACAGAGGGTGCTGAAGGAATACTGCCAGAGGGGGAACCCAAAGCCCACCCCCCAAAAAAGGATGATTACAAGAGTCTGTCTTGGTCCCTTTTGTGTTGATATAGCAGAACCCAAAACAGAATGTGAGAGAGGTCATCCTCAGTAGCCACCTAAGCTGCTAACAGCATTCTCCCCTCAAAAGGTGATAGCATGAAATCATTTAAGAGATGGGCTAAAGCTGGGTGTGGTGGTACACACCCTAAATCTTAGTGAATCTCCTGTCAACGAGAGGAGATAAACTGTATAAACCAACCATAAATGAGAGGAGACAGAGCTAAAACAGCAGTTTAGGACACAAGGTCCAAAGAGGAATAGGCTCCTTCTCATTATTTACTTAATAAATGTGTTGAGAAAGCATATTCCCAGTGTGTCAGTTCGGAATCTGCGGGAAGTTTACTAATTACTTTTCCTTGCAAAGTGATCACAGGGCATTATAGTTGATAGCTGTCTGCAAGATTCTCCTTTCCAACACATTTATCCCCTCTTAAAACTTGAGAGAGTTCTCTGGCCTTCCTGAATGAGGTTGGACTGCCCCCCTGTGGCATTCACAGCAACACCTACATGACCTTTTTAGGAGACAGCAGGCGTAAGAAATCAAGCTGTCTCCACACACAGACAAATAAATCAATGAATGTATGTTAAAGGGGGAAAAAAGTGTTTCACTTAAAGAAAAAAAATTATAAAAGATCTTCCTTTAAACAAACAAAAAGAAAACCAACTTGGGCTTGGGAGATGCCTCAGCCATTCAGAGCACTGGCTGCTCTTCCAGAGGATCTGGGTTCGACAGCCAGCACCCAGTCCAGTTCCAGGTGATCTAATGCCCTCTCCTGACCTCCATGGGCACTGCATGTACATGATGCAAAGACACGTTCAGGCAAAACACCCATGCACGTAAATAAAATAAAGCTAAAAAGAACTTGCTGAAAGTTTACTTGTTTTCCATTTAATATTTTGGGGCCATGGCTAATCTCAAATAACTAAAAATATATAAAGTAAAAGCTTGCATGAGGGAGGGACTGCTGTAGAATGGTTGACACCCCCACCACAACATCTGTCTACAGTCTGAGGGGGCTTATGGCAAGACAAAAACCAACAACCCCACAACTTCTGTGCTGAATGACAGGAGGGTGCCAGGCCTGGGGAGCCTTAAGATGTGACACCTGGAGTCTCCCTTTCCCAAAACTCTTAAGGTCAGAAGTTTTATTTGTTTCCTTTCTTTTTTGGGGGGGTGCCTGTCCTGGATCTCACTCTGTAGACCAGCCTGGCCTCGAACTCACAGAGATCCACCTGCCTCTGCCTCCCAAGTGCTGGGATTAAAGGCGTGAACCACCACTGCCCCTCCAGAAATTTTATTTGTTTGTACCTAATGAGATATCTTGGGGATCGGAAATTCATTTCTGTATTATATACACCAAAACACGGAGCCTGAAATTAATTTGATGAAATGTTTTGAAATAATTTTAATTTTTTATTTACTTACTTATCATCTACTTGTGTGAGAGTGATTGGGGGTGTGGGTGTGAGTGTAAGTGTGTGTGCCTGTACTGTGGCACACACGTGGTCAGAGGACAACATTTGGATGTTGGTTCTCTCCTTCCACTGTGTGGACCCAAGGATGGAACTTGGGTCATCAGTCTTGGTGGTAAGTGCCTTCGCCTGCTGAGCCATCTGGCCAGCCTTGGATAGCATACACTTATTTTTATCTCAAATGATAGGTGTGTGAGTACATGTACATGAATACAGTAGTCTGAGAAGGACAGGACGTCAGATCCCATGAAGCTGGAGTTACAGGGGATGTGAGATGCCTGACGTGGTGCTGGGAGCTGAACTCAGGTCCTCCACAGGAACAGTACAGGCTCTTAGCCTCTGAGCCATCTCTCCAGTCCCCAACAGTGCCTGCTCTTTAGAAGGTGCTGTGCCCAGGTCGCAAGACCCCCAAGCAAGACCACCACAGAGCCGATATCCGATGCAAGCACACAGAGGTTTTTAATAATGAAACAAGCAAGCCCAGGACTTGGTCCGTGCGTCCACCCTAACACCTGACACAGCGGGTGGAGGAGAATGGCCCCAAGCACTCACTTGAAGGGGCTTATATATAGGAAAGGTTTACATGCAGCTTGGGATTGGACGAGGGGGCTAGGGGTGAGGTAGTTCTTTGAAGTTACTGGCTGAACTGTAAGCATGAGGTTACTGAGGGATGACAGGATTCAGGGGATCTACAGGGACATAAATTTTTACTCCCGATGTCCTGCTTTTGTTGAGCCCAGGATATACACATTCAGATTTATTGTTGCTGTCCTGCTCTCCTATAAGTTCAATTTCTGGTCAGTTGAGCCCGTTACTCCCCATATCTTGTTTTGCCAAATCCAGGATATATAGATTTATTATCCCAGCCTTATAAGTTCAACTTCTGGTCACTTCTAAAACTGCTGGTCAGCAAATACCTTTGGAGGAGGGGAGGGGGAAGTGTTTCTCAAGATGGCTACTGATTTTTCCCTTTCAAAGGAAACAGCATAGAAAATAAAATAGAATTGAGTCTTCCTCCTCCTAGTTTAAGATCTCAACAGGAAGAGCTGTAAAGAGCTGGAAGAAGCTAAAAAACAGTGGTATTGTCTAGATAAGTCCATGTATTGGACACTTAATCCCAGAGGTGTTTGAGCTGTGGGAATTATGGGAAGTGTTAATATTCTGACCTGCTCCTTGAAATCCCGCCCCTTGGTGCAGCCCTGAGTCCTGATGTGAAAGCCCCACTTTAAGGAAAACCCTTCCCCTTCCTGTCTCTCTTTCTTCTCCTCCATGAGGTGCACACATCTCTGTTTTTCTCTCTTCTCTTCCTCTCTCCTTTCTGTCTCTCTATGTTCATCATACCATTGACACTTATTCTGCATTCCAATGGGCATCTGCCTTAAATTCTGAAAAGGCAGATTCTGTAATTATACATTATTAGAAATAATGGCTGTAAAGGGCATATTGGTACAAATTAAGACTGATAATACCCCAGCTTATGTTTCCAGTAAAATGAAGCAATTTTTTGTATGTTACAACATAAAACATGTTACCAGGATACCATACAATCCTACAGGACAAGCAATTGTTGAGAGATCTAACCTCACCCTAAAAGAGATGCTTGTTAAACAGAAGAGGTATATGAGGACACCCAGAGATAGACTGCATAATACCCCACTAACTCAAAAAAATCTTTTTAAGTGCTAATGAAACAGGAACAAATTTGAGTTATGGAAAGAATTGCTGAATCAAGTCAGCCTATGTATTATAAATATTTTAGCATCAAAGTAGTCCAGGGAAAGTGTTGAGTTAGGGCCGAGGTTATGCTTATATTTCCACAGGAGATAATAAATTGTGGATTCCATCGAAATTGATAAAAATCTGCCATGAGCAAAAGACATCTCCAAGATGGTGCAGATGCAGGAATGTCTCTGCCAAAGTTGAGACCTTTGCAACAAACAACTAATCCTCCCACCTGGGGACAGCTTAAGAGTTTGTGTGATAAAGGAGAGATGACACTTGGCATGACTCACAAGCCTTTGAATGCTACAAACTTGTTTCTTGCCATGCTTTCCTTGATGATGGTGCAGATAAAAGGGATGGATCATAATTATTGGGCTTATATCCCCAATCCTCCAATTAACATAGCAATAAGTTGGGGAGCTAAGAATATTCCTGTAATGGTTAATCAATCATCTTGGCTACCTGGTCCTTATGACAACTGAGGTTCCGCTCAGCCAAATAGGAGGGTAAAGTGATTGACAATTACAGTGTTGGAGTACAAGGAATTCCTATCTGCATGGGAAATGGAATTCAGTGCCTAAAAATAACCTCTCAAGTATGGCTATCCATAGTCAACACTACCCAAGATTATCAAAATAAGTTTTATAGGCTTCATGCATCCAGTTTTAAAGGACAAGAGATTAATGCTACTAGTTCCACAAATGTACCATTCTGTGAGATGAGGATTACCAACAAGGAATCTGACTGGGCACACTGGCAACAGTGTAAGAGTGAGAAACCCCGAGTGCTAATTAATATCTCCAAAGGAGACCTCATCGATTGGAAGCCTTATGGCTCCCCTCAAGGGAAATATTATCACTCAGAATTAAGGTGGAAACGGTATAATATAAATGTAACTGTGGAAACCAGTGCTTCTATTAATGAACCTATTCAGTGGCATGGAGTTGGAATGGCAAGTCCTCTCCTGCAGTTTGATGATTCAGTTCAGACTAACATGTGGAAATTAGCAAGTGCCTTCCACCCTCTTAAGGCATGGGAAGGAAAATTAAGATTGAGGATGATAAGTAGACTCTGTCTTTCAGACTAAATCAAAGCCATCCTTTTATGGCATGTGTACCATTACCTTACCTGCTATTAAAGGGGCCTGTACAACGGCACCCTAATAATTACAGCATCACTGTGGACGGTGTACCCTTCATACCTGTGTTAATTCTAGTATGTTTTTAAATATGACCTTTGAATGTTTATATATTCTTAGAGCAAGGCCAACAATCTGGATACAAGTTGTCGAGGCCATGGCAAGACTCTCCTGTGATGATCCTGGTACAGAAGCTCGCTGAAAGAATATTAAAAGGAACCTGTCGTATGGTTGGACTGGTGGTTGCAGTTATAATGGAATCATTGCATTGACGGCTACAGCAGCAACCGCTGGAGGGGTACGTTATAAAGAAATCCAAACTGCTGAGTTCATTAGGGGCTGGCAGAGACATTCAGAAGAACTTTGGACTGAAAAAAATAAGATTGATAATGAGATAGTAAATAAATTAGCTAAAATAAGGCAAGCTGTTTTATTTATTTATTTAATTTTTTTGGTTTTTTTTTCGAGACAGGGTTTCTTTGTGTAGCTTTGCGCCTTTCCTGGAACTCACTTGGTAGTCCAGGCTGGCCTCGAACTCACAGAGATCCGCCTGCCTCTGCCTCTCGAGTGCTGGGATTAAAGGTGTGCGCCACCACCGCCCGGCTAGGCAAGCTGTTGTATTGTTAGGGGATCAGTTAGAAATTTTGAAGGAGCAGATAATATTAAAATGGGATTAGAATGTTTCTTGTTATTGTATCACACACTTAAGATTTAGTGAAAGCGGGCTGGAGAGATGGCTCAGAGGTTAAGAGCACTGACTGCTGCTCTTCCAGAGGTCCTGAGTTCAATTCCCAGCAACCACATGGTGGCTCACAACCATCTGTAATGAGATCTGGTGTCCTCTTCTGACCTGTAGTCATACATGCTGTATACAAAATAAATAAAGAATCTTTAAAAAAAAAAGATTTAGTGAAAGCAAGTATGATTGGGAAAAATTAGAATGCATTTGTTGGGTCACCCTATTTCTTCTCAAATGGTTTTTGATTTACAGAAAGAAAGTAAAGAAACATTTGCAAAAAAGTTACCTGATATGACAGGAATGGACATTATGAAGAATCTAGCAGACCATATCCTCATTCAATACTATGAATCACTTTAATAGATTTCTTATCCTAGCAGGTGTTGCCCTTGTTCTAGCAATAGTAACTTTATTGGCTTTAAAATGTGTTTTTGGTATACTTGTGTAAGACTGTAAGACAAACAGATAGAAAGAAGGCTATATTTGCTGTAAGGCTGCATAACCTACGAGATAATTGATTTATACATACATATACATATATATACATACATATATACATATATATAGAGGGGGGAATCTGTGGCTGCGTTCCTGCTGAGCCACACCTGGCCTGGCTCCAGAGCATAGCACCTAGCCCTAATCCATCCTTTGTTTAACCCATACCTTTTGTTTCTCTAGCCATCTTTGTGATTCTTGTCTGAGAGTCTCCTAAGGTTACAAATCCTATGCAAAACTTGGTTCAGGAAACCTGGAAAACCATGGTACCTGAGAAATTGAGGAATTTGCACTTGGCATTCTATCTTTGGGAGCTCCTTTCAGGTTGTTTTGAGCATATGGAAATTAACTGGCTAAACTGTAAATAGAGAGGAAATAAAAATGCTGTAGGCAAAGGGAAAGTGCTTCAGTCCTTCAAGGCTGGACCCCCCTGCAGCCACCAAGGCTAAATTCATTCTTAAGGTGCCTCTGAGTCTTCTTTCCATGGATCTGCATGCACCCACACACCCGCGCCACAACAGACAGTGACAAGGAGGGAAATCTGGGAAGGAGCAACAAACAGTGAGAAAAAGAGGAGAGGAGGACTTCAGGGGCCAGCCACCCAGCTACACAGCCAGCCACAGAGTAAAAAGTCAAGAGAGGTATATAGAATAGGGAACAGTAAAATTCTAGAGGCAAAAGATAGATGGGTTAATTTAAGAAAAGCTGGCTAGAAATAAGCCAAGCTAAGGCCAATGGGCATTCATAAGAAAGAATAAGTCTCCATGTGATTTATTTGGGAGCTGGGTAGTGGGCCCCCAAAGAGCCAAAGTGTAGCAGGAATCTTAGAGAGTCTTATTAATAAAATCAAACCTGGGCCAGGTATTGGGGTGAACTGGAAGATCAGAGAACCAGAACAAGCCACAGCTACCTTACATCGCTGGATCCTCAGCTGGTCTTGCTTCCTCAGCCTAGAGGCTTCTGAGTCCTCATCCAGAATGGGTCTCAGCTGAATTACTGCTCAAAAGCCTGAATGCTTAACCAGGCCAAATGTTTAACTAGGCTAAATGCTTCTAGTTTCTGGTCCTCACGCCTTATATACCTTTCTGCTTTCTACCACCACTCCCTGGGATTAAAGGCTCGCTTTCTGGGATTAAAGGCGAGATGAGTCACCATGCCTGTCTGTATCCTTGAACACAAGGATTTCTGCCTCTGGAATGCTAGGATTAAAAGCGTGTGCTATCACTGCCTATATATATTAAGTATCTAGTGGCTTTTCTGTTCTCTGACCCCAGATAAGTTTATTAAGGTACACAATATTCTGGGAAACACAATACCACCACACCAAAGAGTAAAATAACCAACTACAGCAATTACATCTTTATATAACTGCTTGCCCTGCAGGATTGTGTGGTATACCTGTAATATGCTTTATGATATAATATGCAAAAAGCCGTTTCATTTTACTAGAGACTTATGCTCGAGTATAGTCAATCTTAATTTGTATAAGTATTCCCATGATGGCCATAACTTCTAATAAATGTGTGATTACAGAATCAGCCTTTTAAGAACTCCAAGCAGTTGCCCATTGAAATCCTGAATATGTATCTACGGTATGGTGTACATGTTTTAATTTTCCAAACTCTGCAAAATAAGACACATCCATTTGCCAAACTTCATTTCTTTGAGTACTCATAGGACTACTTCCTGCAGGTAGTAGAGTTTGGTTATACAAAGAACAAGTAGGACATTTCCTTATAATTTCATCAGCTTATTACCAAGTGATAGAATAATCTTTCTTTAGACCTCTGCTGAAGCATAATTCTAATTTATCTTATCAATTAAAATCAGGAGTCAGGCCGGGCGGTGGTGGCATATGACTTTAATCCCAGCACTCTGGAGGCATAGCCAGGCAGATCTCTGTGAGTTCCAGGCCAGCCTAGTCTACAGAGCAAGATCCATGACAGGCACCAAAGTTACACAGAGAAACCCTGTCTTGAAAAACAAAAACAAGGGGCTGGAGAGATGGCTCAGAGGTTAAGAGCACTGACTGCTCTTCCAGAGGTCCTGAGTTCAATTCCCAGCAACCACATGGTAGCTCACAACCATCTGTAATGAGATCTGGCGCCCTCTTCTGTGTACATAATAAATAAATAAATCTTAAAAAAAAAAAATCAGGAGTCAGATTATCAGGGTAAAAACCAGAAAGAGCAGAGAAGCAGGGGAGCAGCCACCAGTGGCTTCTTACCTCTTCCATTCCTCTGACCAAAAAGGTAGAGAACCTTTCTCCACCCTACCTTACCACTTCCTTTCTCCTCTCTGTACAGACCTCCAGACCTCTATGGTTAACTAGTGGCTAATTCTGCCATCTGACTCCAAGCAAGCTTTATTTGTCAGAACACAAACAAAATATCACACAACAATTCCCCCATTTTGTCTAAATAAAAAGAGAAGGTTTTAACTGGCATAGAAAAACTATATACAGCCAGGCAGTGGTGGCTCACATCTTTAATCCCAGCACTTGGGAAGTGGAGGCAGGCTGATCTCTATGAGTTCCAGGCCATCCTGGTCTACTGAGCAAGTTCCAGGACAGGCTCCAAAGCTACACAGAGAAACCTTGTCTCAAAAAAACAAAACAAAACAAAAAAAGAAAGAAAGCAAAATATATACAATAAGTATAATAACTATATACAAATATATAAAGCAAAAAATTACATTAACAATGTCTAGTCCATAGTATTTGATGAATTCAGAGAAAAATATTCCATTATCTATCCTATCTTGGTGAGTCAAAATTTGTACCTAATTCACTTTATATCCTAACTTGCATTACCAACCCAAAGCTATCTTTTTATATCTCTCAAACTTATACACTTTACACCTCTTTTGTGAGTTTCTTTTCTGAATTTGTTAACAAGGAAATTATAACTATAACTATCTAGTCTTCATCTCCATCAGAGACCTGGGAAGGATTTAATATTACCTGAATGAACAGGAAGTGCAGGGCAAACAACTTCCAAAACTAAGAAATGGCAGAAACAGAATGGCCTCTGTACCATTAGGGCATCCATATTTGGCCTGCAGGCTTATAATATCTGACAGACTTTTCTGAGAAGCAGGAATTTTGAAGGACTGTCCTACCTTGTCTTGGCAAGTTTCAGCATTCACTTTTTTTTTTTTTTTTTTTTGAGACAGGGTTTCTCTGTGTAGCTTTGCACCTTTCCTGGAACTTGTTTTATAGACCAGGCTGGCCTCAAACTCACAGAGATCTGCCTGGCTCTGCCTCCCAAGTGCTGAGATTAAAGGTGAGCACCACCACTGCCTGGCCACTTTCTTTTTTGTCCTCCTTGTCTAATTTGGACAGCATACTGTCAGCAGTTGAGGCAAGGGCACTTTCTTGCCCAGTGGCTAACTTTTGCCACCACACAAAAAAAGTAAACTCCATATGGAGTTCCTTCAATGCCCATCATCTTCTCTGAAGTAGACTGGTGCTGCCAGGAGCAGACATGTCTCATAAAAACATGTCTCATGTTGTCATTAAAAAAGAACCTTGGGGGCTGGAGAGATGGCTCAGTGGTTAAAAGCACTGCCTGCTCTTCCAGAGGTCCTGAGTTCAATTCCCAGCAACCACATGGTGGCTCACACCCATCTCTAGTGGGATCTGATGCCCTCTTCTGGCATAAAGTTGTACATGCAGATAAAGCACT